GTAGAGAATGAGGAGGAGAATGCAGGCATTTATAAATGGCCGGACTAGGACGTAAGGCGTGTGTGTGTGATAAGAACGCAACCGACGGATATAATATAGGAGTTTACAAATTTTAATTAGGAGGGTTTCGATAAGAAGAGTAAATTAAAGATTAGATGTCAGAGTAATACCAAGTTACCAGAAAGAGGATACCTAATGGAGCAGGATGTCTAAGGATTCAGGACTGGGAGACGGTCGCAATCGGAAAACGCACTGGACTGACTTCTGATACGTGGTACAAGCCATCTTTCAGAACCTGAACATGTGTCGGACTCTTGAGCGAATGATCAACAACCCTATCAACAGCATATTTTACATACACACATGCATTTAATGATGGTGTAGAGGGGATAAGATAGACCCTCGAAGAACTTTGTAGTTGTTGGGAAGTATAGTGCATTTTCGTTTACCGCATTGGATGAATTGAGTGCGGCAAGTAAAGTAGTCCCCGAACCACCCTGAATAACTTAATGCAGACGTGTTACTAAGGAGGGGATGACGTGGGATAGTATAGGAGGCTTGAAATGCAAATGCCTACACACTACACCCCTTATTTAAATGTCCTAGAGCAGAGTGGACCACAGGAGCAGCAGCGTCTGAGGTACTGCGCCTGGCGTTATGTGCAAATTGCAGGGGATCGGAAAAAAGGAAGGAGAACGGCGTGATTACTTCTCAGGCAACTCTTTCCGCAATATTCAGTAGTGCGGAAGAGCAGGCAATTAGACAAAATGATTTGGCTCCAAAATTGAATGTTTTTGGGGATAAGGGGGATTCTTGCAGAACTCCAACCGGCCGGATTCTTGGAATCCGTGCAAGACAAGTTGATTAGACCTGCCAAGGCCGGGGCTAGCTAAAAACAGCAAAAGAGAAATGGTGAAACTCTATATAACCCAGCAGCTGTTCAACCTCGAACCTTTTACAGGTTTTCATCACTGTATGGGAAAATTTGCCATGTCATTGTTTTTGGTGTTTGGGTGTGTGCTACAGGACTCTTTTCTACCATCTTGTATTACGTTCCAGATGGTGTCGCACTAACAAGGACCAGGCTGCGTGAACCGTTCACGTTTGCACCACGATCCAGAAGGCTGCGAAACTAGCCTCTGGGCAACGGCCCCCGTGAGCTTACCCGATCAGTCGTCTGGTACGACTGGTCGAATTCCCCCAAATCCCCTGATTTTTCCACTCCTTCACCCTGCGCGGTATTTAGAGATCCCGTCCATATACTTTGCTCGGGTGGCTCCTAAATCCCTCCCTTTGTTAAAACGGGAGTACCGTGATGTGCACCCTGACCGGTCACGGACGCGAGTCGGATCACC